TCTCCAACATGAGTCCTTCCCACAGGCTGCAGTTCTTCACAAACTGCTCCAGCTTGAGTCCCTTCCACGGGGTTACAAGTCCTGCCAGCAAAAACCTGCTCCAGCGCAGGCTCCTCTCTTCACAGGGCCACAGGTCCTGCCAGGAGCCTGCTCCAGCATGGGCCTCCCCCAGGGTCACAGCCTCCTTCAGGCATCCACCTGCTCCAGCGCGGGGCCCTCCACAGGCTGCAGGTGGATATCTGCTCCACTGTGGAGCTTCACAGGCTGCAGGGGGACAGCCTGCCTCACCATGGTCTTCATCACGGGCTGCAGGGGAATCTCTGCTCCGGTGCCTGGAGCACCTCCTGCCCCTCCTTCTGCACTGACCTCGGTGTCTGCAGAGCTGTTTCTCTCACATATTCTCACTCCTCTCTCCAGCTGCAATTGCTGCGTGCCAGTTTTTTTTCCTCCTTCTTAAATCTGTTATCTCAGAGGCGCTACCACCGTTGCCGATGGCCTTGGCCTTAGCCAGCGGCAGGTCTGTCTTGGAACAGGCTCCTGTTGGCTCTATCATCAGACACAGGGGAAGCTTCTAGCAGCTTCTCACAGGAGCCACCCCTGCAGCCTCCCTGCTACCAAAACCTTGCCACACAAACCCAATACAATCACTGTCTCTACCAAACAATGAAAACTAGTCTTGTCACCTAAGCAAAAGCCTAGTTTCTAGTTAGCTTTTGGCTAAGTAAAGCCAAAATTTTTAAGTTAGACTTGAAAACATTTCATGTGAATAGTGTTCATTTTCAGTAATACACTTGCATAGTCTTACCCTCAAATACAGAACGGAAACTACTGCAAGTAGCTAAAATGCACTGGTATGGATGTAACTTACAACAAAACTCTGAAGGACACATACACATGTCTTATGTAATGAAGTCAACAAATAGCAACTCATAACTCAAATAGCAGTTATCACTGATTAAAATACTGTATATTGATTGAATAACCTGGGAAGAGGTTACTTGATCCTTGGGAAAGAAACTGATGGGGAGCAGCTGGCCCTGAAGCGTTTGTGAAGCCCTTGGCTGGCCTGCTGATCACCTCCTAAGAACTCTGGACAGCAGGCTGTCGCTGGGCAAGGATATTGTGCTGGTTTGCCGGTAGTTACACTGATCTTGCAGTGATACATTTTTGTGGTCTTTTTCTTTTTTTTTTTTTTTTACCATAGGTGGCTCACATGACAAAAAGTGAAATCTGTCTTCAGGACACTGCATTTATTGGGCCAGGACTTCTGTTTTTGGACCAGTACTTCAACAGTTTCGTTGATGAATATATTGTTCTATGGATAGCATTGGTAAGCATTTTGTTTTATACTTTTCATTTGGAGCATACTTAAAGGAATGGATTGAGAACTGTCCCTGTCATTCTGCGCTGCCATTTCTGACTTGCTCAGATTTCAGCTGTTGCTGCGGAGGGAGTGCCAGGATACCATGTAAACATGTAGGGAGCTGATTGGCTTGCTTTCCTTGGAACAGAGATGTGAAAGTAAATTTACAGATCTCTCTTGTAATTATGCTTTAGTCTAGGTAGTTTGTTTAAAGTTACTCTGCAAAGTGCAGACTAACCTTTGTTTATCAAACTTTGTAAGTGTTTAGTGCTGTTTGGTTTTTGGGTTTTGGGGTTTGTTTGGGTTGGTTTGTTTTTCTTCTAAACTAGACCACTCTATGTTAAAATGCTTGTTAAACTTGTCACTTGGATAGATTCTGATTAAAGTACAGCTGAATTTATGGTAGGGACAATTTAAAAAATACTTGGATTTTTTTTAATCTGTTCTGTTCTGTTCTTTTGAAGTTCATATCCTTGTTTGATATGCTGAGATATGCCACTGGTGTATGCCTACAGATTGCTGCTCATCTTCATATACATGTCTTCAGAATTTCATCTCATCAAGCTCCTGAACAGGTTCAAAACCATAATGACTGATTAAATAGGTCAAGGACAAAAGAAGCAGCAGTTAGGGGAATGTTGAATGAAGCAGCCTCTCTTTTTTTGGGAAGACAGATTAAGCTTTTCAAGAAAATAGTTTTATGAGACAGCTCACTTTATCCCACATATTACCAGATGTTAGAATTACAAACTACAAAGTCCTGCAGATTCTATTGTAATCGTTACTTTTGAACCAGGATGTATTTCCCTCTGCATTTTAGACATTGCAGCTGTTATTTCATACCATGAATACTGTATTTGAAACTTTTGCCATTTCCTGTTAGGTAATAGTAATTCTGTACTTCTGGTCTGGTGAATGTAAACTGCAAACCAAGGTGCTACCAACCAGAATTTGAAGAGGAATTTCACTTTTCCCTAGACCAAGTGACTAATCTTCTAGCATTAGTTTCCAAAGTCTTCTCGGAGCTGCTGTGAAGTGATAGTCAGAGGTATCAGTGGATACAGTACTGCATTATTAACACTGGTAAAATGAGGCATCCATGAGGTAAAACTACTCATTAATCTCTGTTCTGGTATTTCTAAAGAACAAGCTACTGGATCAGTAGGAGGAAGGAGGTATAGCTCAGGGAAATTTTCTTCTATTTCAAAATAATCTTATGAGTGCCTTTAGGATTCATGCATTCTTTAATGTCTTAGTACATAACCTACTGTTATTAAATGCAATTGTAGCTTGTAATTTCTTTCAAGGCCAGTTTCTGGTTTTGTGGTCATAATAAGGTTTGCCTCATTGTGCTCCATCATTATCTAGACTATGAGGGTACTAGCTTTACCTACCCTGACTTGTGTCTGTGAAACTGCAGAAGTGAATGACAAAGTTCACTGATAAACTTAAATGACTGTGACTGTTTCACTGTGACAATGCAACCTACCCCTCTGAAGTACGTTTGCTATTGCTGCATTCATTTAATTTATTATCTATCTAATTTGTCTTGTAGCTATCACTGTACTCTATCCAAACAAAACTGCATGGTACTAAACCCTAATGTAAACCTCTCCAGAACAGAAAGTCAGGTCCACTATCAGCCCTTCTCTTTCTTTAAGAACAGACCCACTGGCTAAAGTAATGTGCCTAGCTGAAGGGCTGCTGTTGTCATTAGAGAAAAGCTGAATGAAAGTAGCTTATTATCTGTATGAGCAAATCATGACTTGCACACAGACCCTATAAGCTTAAGCTCCTTTAAAGAGGTACAACTTGAATATGATTTTTGTAAAAAGCTGTTGAATATGTTCATTACCACTTTTAGTTGCTGATGTGTAGCTGAGCTGTGAGTTCATGAAGTCCTTCCTGAACTGTACAATAAAAAATGCTATGGTTTGTTTTAAAAATATTACCACTGCAGTTTCTTAGCTGCACATTAATTCAAAAAGACTTCCTGAGGTGTTCAAGGAACTTCAGAAGTGGTGTACTGTCTGCTAAATTTGGAGGGGATAAAACACCATCTACCACACTCCTGCCCTAAGGAGGATATACTGATAACTTGAGGGATAACTGTAACAGTTACTGCCAAAGGACTAGCACTCTAAGGGACTAATATAAATTCCAAATGAATCCTCCTGCTCGTTTCAGGCTGGGAAAGACACACCAAACCTTCTCACTCTAAAAAAGTACCCAGGCCACGGGCAAATAGAAGAGAAGATGGTAAAGACCATTTCAGTTTGTCTGAATATTGTAAACAAATTAACCACCTGATGAAAAGACAGGTGACTTTTTTAGAGTGAGAAGGTTTGGTTCCCCAGAATGCTCAAAAATGTGTCATGCAGTAGTAGGTATAAGTAGTTTTAAGAATATGATTGAGGTATGTGGATGATAGGAAACTAATACAGAAATCATTCAGAAAACCAGAAACATGAGGCAATACTAACAAATAACCTAGTACTGAAGATAGGAAGCAAAAACTGTTAACTGTATTTCATAGCATCATCTAATTATCCTGAGAGGGCTGAGACTCAGCAGCATAGTTGCAAATTAGCATAGTTACCTGTTACCCACCAGAGGCCCATACTACCTCATACATCATTCTTGCAATATAGCCTCTGTGTTTGCTCCTTCCCTGAGGCCCAGGTGCAGAACAAAAAGAGCTCCATACCCATTGTGTTTTCAACTTCAGTTGCCACCTAATAGTTGAAGTTTCTGTAAGTTAGCCATCACTAATCTGGCTCCCAGAACTGGAGAACCATCATCAAAGACTTGATTCCAAACTAAAAATTTTAGTAAGCTGAGGAGAAGAATCTGTATGTCCTGGTTTTGAAACACATTGTTATGAAAACATCACATTTGTGCGTGTGGGTGTGTGGATGGTTTTTGTTTTATCCACTATGGTGTTAAATCTAAGCATTAAATATGTTAGGAACTACCTAATTAGTAAAAGTGGATATTCAGGCATAATGGTTTTTTGTAAAAACAAACTGCATGCAAGCTAAGCTGCTTGTTTAATTTATACTGATTGACTGTAATGAGATACATGAAAGAAAAATGCTTTATGCTTAAAACTTAGGCCTCCCTATTCCAGTCATTTGGAATTGCAAACCGTAATACTCCATCTCAAAGGCTTGCAATAACTTGTACTAAATAAATGAGCTAGCTAGTTCTAGCAGTGGTTCTACAAGAACTATATACCCCAAAACACATAATGTTTAATTATGTTTACTTGAGCAGATGTCATCTAAAGTTATAATACTCAGCTCATCATGCTACTAAAGAAACCTGCTTTTTGGACAAATTACAGCAGTTCAGAAATCTCTTACTAGTACAAAGATATTACAATGCCTAGCCTAACGAAAGAGTTAACAAAATTTAATTTAATGCAATACACATCATTAAACAATCTTACATGAGGTATGTCATACTCTGAACTTTTATAACTGCTGATATGTCAGCAGACTAAATGTTGAAAATATAAAAATCTTAAAGTCTGCAGCTTGTGAAAAATGCTTCTATTTGCACAATGTACCCAAAGGCCTGAAGTTATTATGTAAAATATGGGTAATGCATTTTTCGTTAATTCTGCCCGTTGTTACAATTTGGCATTATAAAAAGTGAAACAATTTAAACAGTCCAATGCTATTGAAAGTGAGTATTAAATTGTTAAAGATTAACTGGACAGACAGTAAATGGTTTGGGGTCCATACCACCCCTCCCCACACCCCTAAAGTAATAAATACACTAATATACATTCTTATAACATTATCAGACACAAGATTAGAACAATCCATGAAAGTGTTTAATAGGAACTTTAAAACATTTAAATCTTAACATACTTCTCTATGGCTAATGCCTATACTTGTATCATGTTACTTAGGTACAAGTTGTTTCTCCATTGAGCCATCAGAATAACATGGACTGAAGAGACTTGCGAACAGTTGCCATCTCCTGCTGTTGCTGTTACAAGAAAAGGAGATAATACTGAACAAATGCCGTATTAATATGATTCCTTTGAGCTAATTAAAAGAATGTCAAATGACTTTTTTTATAGAATGTTCTATTTTTGCATTTAACTTCTTCATCGATGTGATACTTACCGTGTCCATCATAATCTTCTTCTGCAACATAGCCATTTCTTTGCGAAGTTCGCTTTGTGCACCAGCTAGAAGATTTTCATTGCTCTTCTCCAGCTCTTCCATGCTCTGAAGTTAAGGATAATCTTAATTCATAATGGTTCAATGTCAAAAGGTTAATTTAAAACAAACCAACCATTATTCAGACTACAGTTTAATTTTTACAGCAGCAGTCATCATTGATAATTGATTAGTTTTGTCACAAACTTGACAAATCATACAGGACTTTGTACTCCAGTCTACATTCCTGTTTCAACAATATGAACCCTGTGAAGGAAACTGTCCCTTCCATTCAGCATCTGTGAGGTCTCAGCTAGTTATCCCGCATTTCAATACAAGATAAGAGTTCTACAAGAAAAGATTAAACAGACATCTGTCAGGAATGAAAATGAATGAAATTCAGGACATGGTTTAGGGGACATGGTGGCACTGGATTAATGGTTGGACTTGATGTTCTTGAAGGTCCTTTCCAACCTAGTGTTTCTGTGAATGATAGGGGTTTAATATTACAACAACCTTGTACTAAGACTTGAAGTAAGGACTGTAACACCCGTCGGATTTCCTTCTTTTTGCACACTTCTGCCCAAATAAGCGAAGTAAAGCTTGCTGGTTATCTTCCCTTTTGTACGTACAATTATGCCTAACTCTGTGTACGTGTGTAGTTGCATTTTCCTTGACTTGGATTTAGTTAAGCTTATTTGAAGCTTGATTTCTACCTTTTGATCTTCTTTGAAGACAAAAATCAAAGTAATACTTGACCTTCTGTTCAGTTTTTCATCTTCGATGAAGACATTTTTGACATTTTGGAACAGTTATTATTTATTAATGCTTCTGTAATATCCTCTGTACATTTCAACTATCTTAAACTAAGAGTTGCTCTATTTCAGATTTACTTTTTTGAAGCTACCAGACTTGAAAAAAACAAACCAAACATATCATAACTAACTGAAATTTCAAAAAGGGACCAGTTAGGAAATGACTTGAACAAAAATTAAGGTTTGTTAGAAACTGACAGACTTGAATCTGCCTCATGTATCAGTATATACTGGGGGCCACACACTTTTCAGCTTGGCAGAAAAGGACCTGAGGGTCCTGGTGGACACCAAGCTGAACATAAGCCAGCAGTGTGCCACTGCAGCAAAGGCAGCTAACAGTTGCATTAGGTTGCATTAGGACGGCTGTTGCCAGCAGGTCAAGGGAGGTGATCTTTCTTTCCACTCTACTCAGTACTGGTGAGACCACACACACCTGGCGTGCTGTGTCCAGTTCCACACTCCTCAGTACACGAGAGACATGGGCATACTGGATAGAGCCCAACAAAGGGCCATGAAGATGATCAAGGGACAGCAGCATTTCTCTTATGAGGAAAGGCTGAGAGAGCTGGGACTGTTCAGCCTGGAGAAGAGAAGGCTCGGGGGGGGTCTTATCTATATACATAAATACCTGAAGGGCTCTTCAGAGAGCCCTTCTTCAGAGACAGGACCAGAGGCAATGGGCACAAATTGAAAACACAGGAGGTTCCGTCTGAACACCAGGAAACAGTTTTTTACTGTGAGGGTGAC